GGACCAACTACAACATAACTTAAACAAAACAAAAAGCACAAGAAACAAACATGGGACCCCATTGCAACATTAATATAAAGCACAACAACAATTAAGGTCTACTACGACACTTCAAACATGGGGGACCACTTTCAACAGCAATTTCAACAACAATATAAATAACACACTACCACACCACTTCGAATATGGGGGACCACGACTGACCATGCATCATTGTCAAAATTATACAAAGAAGTAAACATTTACTAACTTGGACACGTGCTACACCTCCAACGACCTTCGCGAAACTCTTCCACATAACTCACCGCTAAAAATTACCTGCTTCTACTCAAAACCACTGATAGATCACTACAACTTTATACAACGAAAGCTTATTATGTCTAACTAATTTCTCACGCAAAAACGATGCTCCCCAAATGATGTCATTTCCAACAACGAACCCTAAGTTCGCAAATTTCCCCAATTTCTCATACACAAGCTACCCAAAATAGGAAGCATTGCTTAATATGTTTAATAATTTAATATGTTTAATAATTTATAATTATATTTTCATTTATTAATATATTTAACAATTAAAAATGTTAAAAGTCTATCAAGGATGTCACTTGGATGCCTCAACTTGCCACCTGTTAAAAATGTTAAACCTAGATACAATTCACTTATTCTGTCTTCAAGGAATTCATTCTGCTGGTATCAGGTTATATTATGTATAATCGTAGTCAAAAACATCCTTTTTTTTAAATAAAAAGTACTTTAATTATAAATTATAATTCACTTCTACTTCTCGTTTCTAAACTATTTTATATCAAAAACACCTTTTTTTAATAATAGAAAACCTGGCTTAGTTGCAGGAAAAGCGGACATCAAATAGACTTTTAATTTCAATAATGCATAAGGTTCATAACATCGAAATCAGAGACAAATCATCTTAACACAAGATCAACAGAACACTAGACGATCAAAATTGAATTAAATCGCCAGACGTGATGACAAAAAGAAACAGAATAGCACGATTATAAAATAACTTGGGTGAATCAGGAAAACTGAACTATATAGCTTCCAGAGCCTGCAGGACATCAGCCTTCAAATCCTCAAAATCTTCAACTCCAAAGCTGAAGCGAACCAAGTTGTCATGAATCTTATACTTAGCCCTTTCTGACTGAGGAAGATCCCTGTTGGCCCAATACATAAAAATTAAATATACAAAAACCATCGCCAACCAACCACAATCTCTAAACAAATAAACAAAAGAATATACGTCTTTATACTATAAAGTACAAAAAGGAGCAGCCAAACATGCTTTCAGTACAGGGTGCCCGTGTAGCATCAAATCACTTAAACAAGAATTCGAAAGGCGTACCAGTAAGACAAAATAGCAGGTTGATCCACAATGCTCTCACAGCCACCAAACGAGGCCGCAATATATGGGATTTTCAGGGAATCAACAAATTTTATTGTGGTATGTAGGTCTCCATCGATCTGCATTATTGGCAATTTATTTCTAAAAAATCATTTTCATATGGTGGCATCAAAAACATCATTCTTCGTAAAAGAAAAACACATAATGGACTTTATTAGCAACCACATAATTTAATAGCGACTCAGCAAATTCCCACCTCAAAACTGACAACACCACCGAAACCAGTCATCTGCCTCTTGGCAAGCTCATGTTCGGGATGACTCGGCAAGCCTGGATAATAGACCCGCTTCACCTGCCAATAGAAATATGTCATTAGAGCCAGTTCACATCAGATTCGCAAGAAAATCATGAAAATATCGATATAGTGAAATTGTAAAACGGTAATGTTAGAAAATAAACTGTGTATTTCGCAATGCAACAAATATCCAAGCATACATGCACACAACTGACTTGACGATTCTAAAAGGAAAAAAATAACCCATATATGAATACAGTTTCATTTACAAGAAATTATACCCTAGTATAGCTTTAGCATCCATCCCAAAGCCTACTATAAAAATAGTAATAAGACTAAATTACTTATCATTAATAGACAAGATAACAGCAGAACGATAATTCGAATAACTGTGCATCACAACATAAAAAATTCAAAAAGAAAGTAGCATCTTCTCACATGGCACAGTTTAGTACTCATTCTTCCATCCCTTAAGGAAATACTTTTTACAAACACAATTCAACCATACTTCTAAACGAATGTCAGCAGGGAGGAAATACAGGCTTTAAAAATACACATCATCAGCATAAATATGGTGCTGAAGAAAAAGTCTAGTAAAAAACATGTTAACCATAAATTTCATTTTTTATATATAATAGGAGGGAATTGAACAGAAATTGTACACAAGCTCATTCCACAATATAAAAAATTTCAACTAACAAAATGATCAGAATATAACAATGACATGAAGAGAGAGCAGGGCAGCGCATGTCAATGCCATCGTACCTTGGGATGTGCCTCTAAAATTTTGGCCATCCCCATTCCAGTTGAATTCTGCTGCTGTACACGAAGATGCAGCGTTTTCATGCCTCTGATTAATAGGTATGCAGCATTCTGTGAAAAAGGCATTATTTTAGACACAAAAACCAATTAGGATATATCCTTTCACGGAGGGTGGACTATGTAGTAGAAATGACTTACCGGGTTAAGTGTACCGCCCAAAATATGGTGAAAAGTCCGAATTTGTGAAACCACCTTAGTTGAACCACTTATGCAACCGCCAAGGACCTGAAGGGAGAAAAAGGCTCCTTGATGATTAATTATGAATAACTGAAATGTCAATATTTGAGATGTTTACATTAAAATAAGTTTTGAAGAACAGACTGACTTACATCATGATGTCCACCCATGTATTTTGTTAAGGAGTGCAGAATCAGATCAGCACCAAGGGCAAGGGCCTTCTGGTTCAAAGGTGTTGCAAATGTACCATCAATGCAGAGTAAAGTCCCCTTCTTGTGGCAAAGCTCTGAAACCAGCTTAATGTCAACACATCTGAGGAATGGATTGGTAGGAGACTCAGTAAAGAACAGAGACACCTGCACGATTATATAATACCATATTAACTCTAGACAATATTAACTCCAAAAATATCAGAAATCCATAAAGTGAAACCAACAACTCTCTTCAACACTAACATTGTGCTGCTCCAGTGCAGTTTCTAAAGCTCCAACATCTGCTGGATCAATTACAGTGGTCTGCTCATCAAAACAGAAACTTTGTTACATATCTAAAACAAATCTACTATAAACATGGTTATGCATGCCCAGGACAAAGGTAAAAATCTACCAAAAATAACCCATCGCAAACATCAAATGTCCACCTTACCAATTAAGAGACAACAAGATTCACGGTAAGATATCTATTTAAATTTTCCAGTTGAAAACCTAGCAGACTTTTAGTGAGACATCTATATCAGGTGCATCAATTGGTCATTAAATTTGAAAAGGCTAAAGCTTTTGTCACTCTAGGAAAAAAAAATTAGGAAACACAGCAAAAACATCAAAAGCTTTATTCCACTAGATAAGTTAACCCTGTAGATCACACACATCTCCTTTAAACTCACGAAAACCAAGCTCACAGAGAAGTATAATTCCCCATTATTTTTCTACTAACAGTTTGATTAAAATTATGAATATATATAATATTTTTAAAAGCAGGAAAGAAAATGAGCATTATTTTAATCCAAACAATTATATTTAAGCAAAAGAAACATGAACACATAAGAAGCTGTTAGCACCCCACACAACTAAATACAATTAAACCACCAAATGAGCAGAACATATACCGAGATCCCCATCTTTGGAAGAAATGTCTCTATGAATATCCTAGTCTTCCTATAACAATCTGTAGTGGTCACAAGATGTCCACCAGCTGGAATCAGTGCCAGAAATAGGACTATGCTAGCACACATCCCAGATGCCATTATCACAGTTGATTCGGCCCCCTCCAGTGCACTGGTTCATAATGACAACAAGCCTCATTAAATGACCCCAAAACTCGACACATCACATGTTCATAAAAAACTCGAAACACACAAACCTTATCTTCTCCTCTAGAACCACAGTCGTTGGATTTCCATATCGCCCGTACTCATAACTAACCTGGCGATTCTCCTGCAAAATTATTGAAGGCTCAGCCACACCAATACTGGACGTTTATCTGTTCATTATTTAATGAGGCGAATAAAAACAATTTAACACTCCAAAGAATAGTACCTTGAAATCAATGAGATCAGCGGTTTTCTTAAAGAAGTAAGCAGAAGTGTTCACCACAGGAGTGGTAATTCCATCAGTCACAATACCTCTACCCAGTCTTTCAGCTGCATTGCTCAAATACAAAACCAAAACATAGCCAATAATCAACAATAATAACATCGAGGAAATTAAAACTAGTCTAATCTTAAACCATACAAACTAACCACAAAACATTATAAGTTAAATCCTAAATCAAACGTCACGTAAACTAACAAAAATACCAAATCTCAGAAAGCATACAGTAAATAACGAATTAAGTATGTACGATACGAACAAAAAAACAGAGAAGGCCTCTTTCTGAATCAAATCACATCCGATGTGAAAAAAAAAATCTAAAGAAGTACAAAAAATTTGAAAGGAACAATTAAACAATGGTTATCCGAGCAAACCAAACCTAAATTTAATTATATAGTTTTAAAAAGTAAACGAATCAAAGAAAGTAAAAATATAATAAAAATTTATGACATAAAAAGAAAACGACAAATTTTCATTTATCACGTACCGGCATGAATCGTTTTGCTTGCATCAGATTTCAAAAACGAAGAACAAGAACTATGATTTAACTGTACAGCCCCGTTCTCATCGGCCGCGGCGGCGACGGCGTCGTCCTCAGCGGTGATGTCGACAGGGAGAGGCACCGTGGCAGCGTCCGCGGCCGAAACCGCGGGCGGCGCCGGAGCCCCGGCGGCGGGATTGTTGGCGTTGTTATTGGACCACGAAGCGGCTACGATTTGCGCGACGCCGATGTTGCTACAGTTGCGTCGCGCCTTGGTGCTGAGCTGGCGCTGGAAGTTGGGAGGGAAGCGGAGGATGAGGGAGGAGACGCCGTGGAACGCAGCGCCGGATCCGGCGGAGGAGCGGAAGTTGCGGCGGCGGAGGTTGTCGAATGACGGCGGTGGCGAGAAATCGGGATCGGAGCGGCACTCGAAGGTGGAACGCATGTGTGAACTCGAAACGGCCATGTTTGTCGTCGTTTCAAGGGTTTTGTTCGTATGATATGTTTCTGTTGTTCTCCTTCACCAACTTCCCTCTTTCTCTCCTCTATCTATACTACCAAAACCAATCTCTAAACTCTTCCATTCGCAAATGGATCCCTCACGCCCTTATATAATACTCAACTTTAAAATATAAACAGTATATACGCGTCACTCATTTGTCCTCTTCTTTTACCCTTTTTATCATCACTACTACTGAAAGGGATTTTGCATCTCCTACACCCACCGAATTACAGATCGTGAACTCTGCAAAACTCAGCCCTTCGATTTTCATCTAACGACTCATGATGGCTTCATGCGCTTCGACTTACAACTCAAGCCTGGCTCTGTCTGGAGCGTTCGTCTTAAATCTCACGGCTCCTGTTTTCCTGATTTTTTCAGCTGTTCAAAGCTATTGCCTTGTTTTTAGATGTTAACTTTTTGAGTTTTCAACACCAACACGTCAATAGGTAAACACGTCATTATTATCACTATTAGCTAATCGATTTGATCTCATCGTGTTGAATTTAACAAGACTGTGGTCTCTTGGTACATTTTTATCGGTCTTTTACATCATAACAAATTTAACCAAAAGGAAGAAAAGAATAAATAATACTGTATGTCTCATAATATAAACAATTTAATGCGCTTGTTTTTCAGCACAAAGATTTTATTTAAACGCAAGTTTGATCCTCTATTTTATGTTATTTTTTAAATAAAGACATTTAACCGTCCAAATTAAACAATTACCACGTTTGTTAATAATTGAATATTTCTCTAAAAACATTTTGCACTGTTAATATATATATATACATCATTTTCACTGATATAAAATGAAATTTCTTATTTCCATAAAATTATCTTACGAATCATAGCGAAAATAATTATTAATTCGTATTAATAAGGGTAGAATATAATTATTGTGTAGATTACACTCATTGATTAGATCTTATTGGGCTAAATATTGTTGCCCTAAAAATATGTAACATAAACTTGATTCTTACAGAAGTCCCTGTGTTGCTGGGGTACAAGCGGCTGTTTGTTTACCCTGTCTCTGAATCTCACGTTGAAGTGTGAAAATAATAATATTTTAGCAAATATTTAGAAACAGTGTGGTTCATGAAAAGTGTGCAAATTGTACCTTATTTAGTGCATAAATGTGTTTAGCACTTGGTTTCAATGTCCTCCTCAATATTTTAAATAAATTAGTAAAATCATATCCTTATATAAGTTAGCTGTAGTTTTTTTAGAGTGACATCCCTACGAGATATTTATTAATTTTACTTAATTTAAATTTAAAAAAAAAATCTATGTAAGTATCTTTAATTGAGTTTCCTCATCATAACCATTAATAAGGTAACTCTTCCAACCATTAAAAAGAATGTCATGGTTAATCACACATTCCTTGAAATATAGATATTGTTTTAGAAAAGGTACATTATTCCAAGGAATCTTCTAGATGTTCATTTTAACAAATTAAAAAGAAAAAAATATTTTTATTTAATGCAAACCAAATATAGAATTTTAGCTTTTGTCTAATATTTTCATTCATAATAAAAGATATAACATTCTTTAACATACTCCTTCTCAGCGTATCGATCATTAATTTTAGAACTAACTATTTATGAATATTGTCAGACCTCGGAAAAACGCATTCAAACTCCTCCTGTCAGTTATTTAAAACGCACCCAAAATCCTCTGTGCGGACGCCAGGTGTCAATCAACGAGGATTCAAAAATCAGATGGTGGAAGGCAGGTGTTGGCAGGAAAGCGGACGTCCGTTTGGACGTGGGAAGCAAAAATTGATTTTTCGGAAAACCCGTACCCACTCTCTTCTGCATGCACCTTCTTCTTTCCAAACTTTGATCTTCCATTTCTCCTTTTTCTCTCTAGAAACTCTCCCTTCTCTCTACTAAAACTCATCTTTTCTCTGCTCCGATTACCGTTCAGGCACCGTAGGAGCATTCCTGACGTCCCAAGCTACAATCTGAACCGAACAGTTCCAAGTTCTAAAACTGGTAAGTCTTTTGTCCTTAGTCGTTCGTTCTATAGTACATGCAAACCAAGTTTCGGTTGCATGCTGATACCTTGTCTGATCCATTTTTGGTTTCTGGCTGTTGGTTAAATTAAGAGTTGTGGAACGTAAGGGTAGAAGAGATTTTAGTCAGACAAACCATACTTCTGCCTCTAGGACGATCGTTTACACTAGAGGTAAGGGAAGCTTAATTAATTTAATTTATATGTTGTTGCACCGTATGAACGTCCGTTATTTGACTGAATGAATATTATGCATGATGGTTGATATGTTTGGATTGTATGAATGTTGATATGATTGTTTATGTGGAATATGAATTATTAGTATGATATGGAGTGTAATAAGTATGCAAATTGATTATGATATGAATTTTATAAAGTTATGAAATTATGTAATGAGAAATGAGTTGAAGATAAATGAGTACTGAATATGAAATTTTCCTATGATAATGTACGTTCGTCATTGAACGGTCTTTGACCGTTCGGTGTTCCTAGTAAATTGGTTGACATTGAATTCTTTCATTTGGAAAGAATTCTAGTTGAAGATGAGCGCCTTCTTGTAGTAATGCTGCGCTTGAGCGTTCGGTTAAGCGTAGTTGCATCTGAGCTTTCAGTGACAAACATAGATCTGGTATATATATATATATATATATATATATATATATATATGTATGTATGTATGTATGTATGTATGTATGTATGTATATATATATGTATTTGTATATGGTAGTTATTCTTAGACACGAGTCCGATAATATCTTATTTATGAATCTTTTAATTGAAGTTTATTACTGCTCGGTCTCACACCAAGCTCTTGTGATGAGTAGCACTCGGTCTTATACCAAGTGCTCGTACCCGTTCATAGTAAATCAATCTTGATGAAATAGCGTTCGTCCAATTTCAGTAGAATCTCCTTTACCGTGTTCGGTCATTCACCGGCATCAGGTTTCTGTATATGAATTATTTTAAATATGATTCTTTAACGTCTTGACGTGTCTACATTCATTGGTTCCGGCCTAGAGTCCCGTACTTGATTTATTCTTGAGTATTGGTTTGAACTTACGAGAGTCAGTTCATTCAACTGATTCACGTTATAAATAACGTTCGTCTTATGGTATATGATTGTACTCGGTCTATTCCTAAATCTATTAGTAACCCTTTCGGTTTTATTCTAATCCGAAACAGGCGACTTCTTGGTCTCGTTCCTAGTGTTCTTCCTCATTCTGAGTGAGGACTGAACGTTCGGTTTTTATGGTTAGTAAAATTGGTGATAAAGATGAAGTTAGAATGATGGATAATAACAGATGAGTAGTATATGAGAGGTATAATATGATGTGGAATGTGAACGAGCGTTCCGGGGAGGAGCGACTCTTGAGTGAAGAATTGAAGTTGGTAAAGTATGATTGTGGTAATGCTAAGCTGTCGATTCATCCTGATGTTCCGTGAATACTCGTCCTCATGTAGAAGAGGGTAGGTCATGTGTGGGAACGGCAGGAGGTCCTGGTCCTTAGGGGTACTTTGGACAGATAGGGCTAACCTCGGGTGGCAGCTGTTGAGTGTATCCCAGTTACTACACCATCCGGGTGCACGAACGTCGTAGCTACACAGATGTCATACAGTCCGGACGGTCAGTCTAGTGATAGGTTTGGTATGATACATAACTTGAATTTTTCTCTTGTGTGTTGGATTGTTTTATATATATTGAGGCATGAATTAAATTATATAAGCTTACCCTGTGTTTTTCCTTGTGTTGTCTTGTTTGTACGTCCGTCCTTGTCGTTGCAATGATCATCCGTGTGGATGTGAGCAGAAGGAGACGCGCCACTGGAAGAGGCGCTGGAAGAAGAGAACTTGGTCGAAGTCGAAGTTAAAACCGAACAGTAAGACGTTCGGTTAGTAGTGTAGTTTTTGGTAAGGTGGTCGTTCGATCACCTTTTCCCTTCTTTTGTATGACCGTTCGGTGTTGGTTTTGTAAACCGTTCGGTCAAATTTAACTTATCTTGTACAGTTAAGTTGGAAAGTTTATGTAAGGCCATTAGGCCAGAATCGTACGTTCTTTTAATGTTAAGACTGATCTGAGTTACTATTAATTGTTAATATTCTATTATATGGTTTATTGCTATATTTTTAGGATGTTACAAATATTTAGTTTGAAGGTTTTTTTAAACAAACTGGTAACGAAGCTATATTATTAACATTTTTCTTATATATAGATTTGAGTCTTATAAACATGTGTTTAAGAATAATGAAAAATAAATAACAAAAATATAACATTCGATACAAAAGTAATTTTAAAAAATCTATTTTTACTTTTAAATCTTTGTGTTTTACAAATAAATATCTAAGTTCATGAAATTTCTTAGAATTAAAGAAAGTGAATAAGATATTACAATAATTATTTTAAAATTTTATATTGTTAAAAAAAATATCTTGCAAACATAATAAAATTGTAGAGGTTAAAATATGTCCATTGTTCTGTTAGTTATAATTTAAATATTATTATAATTTGTGTAGATATTATTTTTTAAGAATTATACTTTGAAGAATTTACAGAACTTAAAGATTTAAAATGAGAGTAAGCTAAAGAGTGTAGAAATTGTGATGGTGGGTTTTTACAAAATAATGAGTGTTTATGATGGATGACGAGGACCACATAACATGCATGAGTATGGACACAGCATGCACCACAACAGTGGGCACAAAGATAGAATACAAAAGGAGGTTATGTGCATGTATGTGGATGCGGTGCTAACTTTAAGGGACCAGTGAAGATGGCTATGTCACATTCACCATTCAGTATTAAGCAATAACACATAAGGGGACCATAGGAAAAAAATCAATCATGTCATGACTCATCCAATACATCATTTTTTATACTTTATTTATCTATCTATCATTGAAAGAGAACATAAACTTTTGAATACAAAAATCAGTTGTGACATTTACTTACCCTTAAAGTAGAGCCAATAAACAATGACCAAATTCATGCCAACTAATTAATGCCCCATGACATAATAAGATTAAACTAAAATTGAAATAATGGCCAATGATAAAAAAATATATGATCATATTTTTTTTTCTAAATTAATCTATTTT